CAGAAAAGGAAGAGAGCAGAGATTGATACATACTCAGGTCAGACGTGTCTTTTGATTTGCGCCATTTCCTCTCCGCTGCCCTGAGTTCAGTCCGGTGTTCACGAAGAACCTCAGATAACCAGGGGTTAGAGGGAGTGGTGCGTGCTGGCCTAGAGGAGAGAGGGCAGATATTGTCTAAAGAAGAGGTTAGGATGGAGCATAAAGTATCCGTTGCAGTATTCACATCCAGAGATGAGAAATGTGAGGGTGAGGGAAGAGAAGATGACACAGCAGAGGAAAGATGGGATGGAGAAAGTGAGCGCAGGTTTCGTCTGAAAGTAAATGGTGGGGAGGTTGGTGGAGCATGGGTAGTGAGTTGTAGATTGAAAGTAATGAGGAAATGATCTGAAACTTGGAGAGGTTTCACCAAAATGTTGTCTGTGATACAGTTGCGTGTGTAAACCAGGTCCAGTTGGTTGCCTGACTTGTGAGTACCGGTGGTGATGAGCCGTTTGAGAAACTTTTCTCTTTCCATCTGTTATTTGAAAGTAATTTCCTTTTGACCTTTGCCTGCACTTCCTTAAAGGAACAGGTCACCCAAAAATACAATTTGTCATCATTTACTCACCCTTATAGCTTTTTTTTTTTTTTTTTGTGAAGCTTATATAGTTCATATAGCTCATATAGTCGTATAGTTGTAGGAGATACTATAACACACACACATGCACACAGTGTGTGTGTGTGTGTGTGTGTGTGTGTGTGAACTGCTTCAAGACAGCAAATTACCTGAGTTTGACTTTACCTCTCCTTGCAACCCAGAGTTAAAAACCTTTTATCCTTCCCAAGTTCAAAGGCAGAGTCATTTCCTCCCTGTGCTGACGAGAGAAGACGTGACTCAGAAATGCAGGCGTCCTTCAAAAACACCCCCCAAGAGGGCAAAACAGTGACAAACCCAATCGCTCATAGGCTGCCAATGTTCAGATGCTTCAAATCTCCTCATCAACATTCATGCCAATTCAGCAGTTCTACAAGAGGTTTATCAGCGGCAGAACAGCCTAAAACATATAACAGTCAGCAGTGCTTCTATTTTAATTAATGAATAAAAATAAGCAAAATTAAATACATAATTTTAAACATAAAAGTTGTCTTCAATCAGCTGAACAAATTCTTAAGCTTGAATGGATACTTTGACAATTTTCAATCTGGTTTCCGATCGCATCACAGCACAGAGACAGCGCTCATAAAGATAATAAACGATATCAGGCAAATTATCAGTACTGGTACTACTCGACCTCAGTGCTGCATTTGACACTGTCGATCACAACATACTTCTTGACAAGTTGGAAAACTGGGTGGGGCTTTCTGGGATAGTCCTAAAATGGTTCAGGTCATACTTAGAAGGGAGAGGTTATTATGTGAGTATAGGAGACCATAAGTCTAAGTGGACATCCATGACATGCGGAGTCCCTCAAGGCTCAATTCTTGTGCCACTCCTGTTCAACCTGTACATGCTCCCAATGAGCCAAATAATGAGAAAGAACCAAATTGCTTACCACAGCTATGCAGACGGCACACAGCTCTACTTAGCCCTATCGGCTAACGACTCCAGCCCCATTGACTCTCTGTGCCAATGCATTGATGAAGTAAACAGTTGGATGTGCCAAAACTTTCTTCAGTTAAACAAAGACAAAACTGAAGTCATTGGGTTTGGAAACAAAGATAAAGTTCTCAAGGTGAATGCATACCTTGACGCTAGGGGTCTAACAACTAAAAATCAAGTCAGGAATCTTGGTGTCTCTAGAGTCAGACCTTAGTTTCAGTAGTCATGTCAAATCAATAACTAAATCAGCATATTATCATCTGAAAAATATTGCAAGAATTAGATGCTTTGTTTCCAATCAAGACTTAGAGAAACTGGATTACTGTAATGGACTCCTCACTGGCCTTCCTAAAAAGACCATCAGACAGTTGCAGCTCATACAGAACGCTGCTGCCAGGATTCTGAGCAGGACCAGAAAATATGAACATATCACACCAGTCCTCAGGTCTTTACACTGGCTCCCAGTTACATTTAGGATTGATTTTAAAGTATTATTACTGGTATAGAAATCATTCAATGGGCTAGGACCTCAATACATTGCAGATATGCTCACTGAATATAAACCCAACAGATCACTCAGATCATTAGGATCACATCAGCTAGAAATACCAAGGGTTCACCCTAAGCACGGAGAGTCTGCTTTTAGCTATTATGCCAGCCGCAGCTGGAACCAGCTTCCAGAGGAGACCAGATGTGCTCCTACAGTAGTCACATTCAAATCCAGACTCAAAACACATCTGTTTAGCTATGCATTTAATAAATGAGCACTGTGCCACTGTTCGTCCGACTGTTTTTACTGTACTTAATTTTATTTTTTATTCTAAACTGTTTTAATTATTCTTATTTGTTTTATTTGTTTATTACCATTGTGTATGAAATGTTCTATATAAATAAACTTGCCTTGCCTAATTAAAATATTCTGTTCAATAGCTAATTTAGCTAATTCAAATATTTAAAATGAATTTTAAAAAAGAACAAAACAGACACATGAAAGTACATAAAGTATTAAAATACTATAGGCTTACTACAACTTAATAATAAATAAAATAGTCAAATATATATCAAGTATTTTCAACATTTAAATATGAATAACATATGAATTATTTACAAATAACACAAAATAAAAACATCAAACATAAAACTACTCATTATAATTAAAATAGTATGGGTTCAGTTCATCTTATTATTTAAAAAAAAGATAATAAAAATAATAATAAAATATGACATTTAAATCTAAATCTAAATATTTGTATTAATTTAATTTACACCGTATGCAAATAAGACTAGTGTGATACAACTGCATAGAAACATTGTCTATAGAAAGATAAATACAGACCATATAAGGCTTTTAAAATTTCACATGATATGTACAAGGGTGTCAAAGGAAAAATATATAGCTACTAATACTCTATAAATATAATTAATTAAAGGAATAGAGACCTACACACACACACACACACACACACATATATATATAGAAGGAGATTAAATTAAAAATGTACTCGCTTTCCAGTAAAACAAGTCGGTCCATGTCGGCCAGTTGTTCTGACTCAGTCTGCTTTCTGCAGTTCGCAGGCTTGACACATAATAACTGAACAGCGGTCAATAACAGGAGCTTCGCATGTTTAGAAAGGCCATCACAGATGCTCAAGGAACATGTTCAAAAAGCAACAGTGAAGTTCAATATATTCTGCACACTTAGTGACAAAGCCTTTGAGAGAACACAGATGTTTTTAATACTCTTTATGCCATCTGTTCTGTCCTGAGGCCAAGTGACGAGTGTTTGCGGGAAGACAACAATCCGTCAGACCTGGAAAAAATCCCTTTGCCACCACTGAAATTTAAGCTATATATGGCTGTACTTACTTACATAGCACCATAGTAACCTTAAAGCCTTATTTAACTTCTTCAAAAATCACATATACCAAAAGGAGAACATCAGTCAAAGCATGCATCAAATTAATTTGTGTGGACACAAAAAAATCTTTGTGTTGGGACTATCATCCACCATGCAAAAAAAAATATATATATAATATAAAAAAATAAAATGATTTAACCAGCACACCTCTGTTCAACAAGCAGCATGATTTGAGAAATCATTTGTTTGTAGCAAAAATGGTGCAGAGCAAGTTACACACTAAAGTAGGCTATAATTCTTTGGGTTATGGATTTGTTCAAAATTTTAACCCTTCACATGCAATAATAGAAAACACAGTGCAATATTTCCTGTATATATTGCAAACTGTGTTGGTTCTGTCAATACATTCGAGAAAGCACTTGACCTGTCACTATTATTCATGCTTTTTTTTTCAAATGAATGGCTCATGCACACCACACAAGCCAGCAATCAATCTGGGAATCAATATCCACTGATTGGAGGTGACCACCAAGGAATCCACATATGTGTGAGTGTGATTGCGAGCCCTGAAAAGTGCTGCAATTCTGTTCCAACTCCTTGCACCTTGCAGCTTTTTTCCGGAGCACCATTCTTTTTTAGTCCTCTCTCTTTCCTCATCCTTTTTCTATCGATCCCTCGCTTTCATTGCATCCCTACTCATACCGATTGCACTTTAACACCTCATTTTCCTTCCCCTCTCCTTTAGTGGCCTCTCTCTCTCTCATATACTCCACATTACACACACTCTCCAGCACACCTAATCTCCACGTGAAACGCGTCCCACAGAACAAACCAGCTATTTTACACCGGCACTAGCAAAGGGGGGTTTGGAAAGGAGGTGCGTTCTCCATTCTGCTCTCCCCGCGTGTCTCATTTACAGAAACATGAAATAGGATTTTCTTGCAGGAGATGATTTACGCATCCCCAGATACGCCCAGATGTGGGAATGCATTGCTGCCTCCCGTTTGCAATAGCTGCCCTTCCTGATTCAATACAAACATTTGAATGATTGAATCAATAACATAACATAATAAAAGCCACAGGATATCACTAAAAAACAACACTACACGCTTATCAAGACAAGCATGAACAAATGGTTAAAAAAGATGTGCAGAATTATCCTGAATTTTCTTCAAGGATTGTGATTTTTTTTTAATTATTTCTACAGAATGAAATATATGCAGAATAGATGTATGTGAATTGCATGTAAAACTGCAAATGCATATCACTGCAAGAACAATTCTAAACTGTAAAGAAATTTGATATTAGATGTTATCAGACCAGAAAAAAAGCATTTGTGAGGAAGATTACATGGAAAATGTACACATTGTTTAAAAAAAAAAAAAAAACATCATTTGTTATTATAGGACATTCACATCTGAACAACCTCTCTTGTAGATAATAAACCCATCATACCAATTACATCGTGATGAATTATAAACCTTACAGAATACAACATTCCTTGTAATTCTGAACAGATGACATTTGGATAACATGAAAAGACGATGCGTGTATGTCTCTTACCGTGAGATGCCAGAGAGATGCTGATGCTCTGGGATGCTGATGTTAAATCCTGCTCGTCTCTGCACCCTCACACACCTTTATTATGAGAGACAGCCCTGCCCCTTTTCTCTTCTGATTGGCCAGGCCTAAACTTAGCCTTAAAGCCTAAAGCGCCCTTATTTGTTGACAGCTTTTTTGTTTTTCGTCTATTATTTGTTATCTTACGTGTTCTGTTTTTATCCTAAATTAATCGTATTGCTTGTAATTTAACATTTAAAATAAAGATATACATTTTAACCACATATTTTCAATGAATACTGCGATATGGCGAAACAGACGCCAGTCTTTTGACTGGATGTCGCCAGTTTTAGAAATGACGGTCATGGGAGTTGTAGTTCTTTGTCAAATTTCTGAGTATTGCCTTGCACCGTTTGAAATATTTTAAAGGACTACTAAACGTCGCACCTAGGTCCGTTCTATCCCCTCTCTGTTCTCTGATTGGTGCTCACCACCACCTAGCTCCGCCCCTCATCCTTTAGATTGGTCATGCAGAAAACTTCCGTCTTTAGCGAGCGATTCCAATCCACACAGAAAGGAAAATATTCAAAAGAGTTACCGAGCACATCGGCAGTCAAATAAACATCTATACGAGCTTCACACAGGTAGGAGAGGCAGAAAACACACTTTTAAATTTAACTTGGAATTAACGATGTTCGTTTAGCTGCGGTTTATATGAAAATAATTTGTGTTGGGACTAGCAGTCACCTAAGCTAACAGAGACTTTAGCAATCCAGCTAATCAGAGCCTCACAATAGACCAGTGAGTAAGAAAAGTAATGATGATGTTTAAATTTGATTTATTTTGTTTTATACAAGGCCAGGAAGCCCATCTCAGATCAGTATTACCCAGGCCTTAAGTTCTAATGGAGAATAAATCAGGTTTGAAGACAGTAAAAGCAGGCCTGCTGAATACTGAAAGAAAATATAATAGGAATTTAACGTTACTCAATCAGGGTTAGAATGACACAGTTTAAATATTACATTGGCTTTGATCTTATACTAATCATTCATACGAATCAGGTTAGATAGCTGTTTTAACGTTACAAATGTTGAAACTTTGATATCCTGGATCTGTTTTAGACCCGACGTTAGAATCAAGCTGTTACAGTGTTTCACACAATTGCAGTTCTGATAAAAATGATGACGTCACATTTGGGTGTAAACCTGAAACATCTTAACAGCTTAAATCAGTCGGTAGAATCTGTTTTGAAGTCATTATCCACTTATGTAAGAGTCCGATATAGTTTCCGTTTACACTGTGGGAGAAAAGTATCTGGATTGATTAAATTAAATTGAAGTGAAGGTGACCTATCATATATATCAAATAATTATTGTATATATATTTTTAATTCTGAGGGTCCTTAAATTGGCGGAGAATCACTGGCTCTGTGAAAGCTGGAAAACTTGCTCTAGAGCGACATTAACTGACCAATATTTGTCAGTTTAAAAATGCTTGAGTGGAAGAAATGATTGTTTTTAATCACATTACAAGAAAAGTTTTTTTTGTTGTTGGTCCATTTGCTGAAAAACAGAGCAAAAAAATTACTGATGTTGAATGACTGCTGAGTATTTGTGTTGATTTATTACTTTAATAAGCATTAAGAGCTGATTTGTGACAGCTAGTCAGCATCATATTGAAAAACCATTATGTTTTAACACAATCAAGCATATTAATGTATGAATTCTGATTTTAGAAATATAGAGCTTGATGACAGTATTTATATAATTGCAGTTACAATCTTGTGAGGTACTAAAATGTACTAGTGACTGAACAAAATACTTTTAATATTTACTAAATTACAACAGTGCAATAATCACAACTCAGATGAGCTATTGTCATGCATATCTGCATTATTCCATATTGTGGCGGTTCTATAATTGGCAAAACTTTCCCTCACTTGACAGTGAATAGCCTATGTTGTTTCACTTTCAATCTTCAATGCATTATACAGTAAAAAATGTAGTATAGGTGGATCTGATTCAGGATTCACCTGTGTTAGGGTGCTACCCATTTCAGTGCCAAGGTCAGACTCTGACTAGAGACACTACAGGAATCAGGTGTTGGTTGGCCTTTGTCAAGAGGAAAAAGGTGAGTCATTATAATGCATATGTAACCTGGCAACCATATTTTATAAGAGGAGTGTTGGTATTTTCAACCATTAAGTGAAGCAACGGCCTGCTCTATGTGGTGACGTCACTGCTATCCCTGAATGTCACCCAGATAAGGCCACCTCCCATAGCGGGGCCAAAGGCCTTCCGATCAGGTGGGAATGACTAACGGCCTCCTGTCCATTAGCCTGAATCGGCGGCATTGAGATAAGCGTGCCTCGCTTTCAATGGTTTGTAAAGTTCCTTGTAGCTTGAGAGGAACTGTGACCTTCTGCAGATAACAAGAAGCGCTATTGTTTCACACGTGTTGGGTGAAGGAATAAAAACTTTGGCATGTTGTTGTAGACTTTGAGAAGAAATAAAGTCACTTAAGGCCTGTTCACACCAAGTACGATAACTATAACGCTAACTAATAATCATTCAAATTCTTTGAGAATAAGGAAGTCCATACCACAGTGATGACAATACTTGCAATATTGTTGGAATACATTTTAGAATGTTTTTTTTTTTTGTCCCCAGCTGATGAACGATATAACATGGCAATAAGAATCCACTCAACTTTTAAAAGCTTGAGCATTTAAAGTGGCAGATGGCATAACTGCAGCACACGTGTGTAATAAACAGAACATTATCATACGTTGTTGTGTGGATTTGTAGGGCTGCCCCCAAACTAACGATATTTCTAGTTGACTAGTAGTTCACTTAAGCCATTAGTCGACCAATTGCACGCTTATATTAATTTAATTACTTAAATAGGCTATATAGCCTACTCTGGGGCGGAATATATGCCTATTCCAATCCGTACACAAGTGCACACATAAAGCTTGCCGCAAAGCATCGTAATGATTATGAATGTGTCCGAAAAAAATAACAAGGAGACATTTTAATTGTTAATTAATAAACTAGTGTTTTCTGATTCAGTGTCGTCTGCAAAGATGAAGTTGACCATGCTCGGCATGTCTGCAGTAAAGTGAATGCGCCTATAGAGAGAAATGCAGCTTTCATACGGATTACATAAGCAGAGAGTATTTGTTTGATTTGAATTGGTTCATTTAAAACTACACATTTCAGGCTTTCTATCTATCTTAATAAATGTCTAATGTCTGTGAGGCAAGTAGCCTATGCACTGAGTTTCTGTTCATTTTTGTGACGCGCTCCAGTTCATGGAGACCGAGACGGCAGAAAGTGGTGCATCCTGTTTTTATTTTTTTATTTTACAAAAGCACAACGTTTTGTTGTTATTATGAGTTTACACATACAAGTATTCCCTTTACAGTTTTGAATGATGTTTTATCCGTAGGACTAAAACTGACGGAGTATTTTAAGTTGTTTTCGCTGTTACCAGGAAAATGCAGTAAGTGCTCTAATACTTTAGCTTCCATGTTCCGCGCGAACACTTGGAAATGCGCCTAATAATAGCGCACATTTATCTAGGTTTACATTAGAGCGAGCAGCCAAGTTACTCACATGTTTTACTTTTAAAGGGGGGGTACAATGGTGTTTCATGTATTCAGAGTTGTTTACAGTGTTAAAGAGATGGATTCTCATGCTAAACATAGCCAAAGTTAAAAAAAAATATATTTTGGACGAATAACGGAGAATTTATGTGCCGAAAATCTTACTTCCGGGTTGGTACAAGTTTCGGCTGGTTTTTTTCGATCGTGGATCTAATAGACGGGATCTAGTAGACGAGAGTGGAACTCCTTATATGAGCATTTCTCTCGGAAAAGCGCGCCCGCGCACACGTCGACCAGAGGAGAGCGAGACCACGCACATCAACGCGCTTCAACAGGAAATCATCGGCAGCGCTGCATAGGATTTGTTCAAGAATGTCTTTAAATATATTTGTTTAGCTGGGCACTGTAGGTGTCTGTTTGTTTATTTTAAAACCAAATCATGTTCTCAAAAACCACGAGTAAACACACAAATGTTGTAAGTTATAACTCGCGCATGACATGGTGTTCTAAAAACACAGCGCTCAAGTTCAAATCATTTCTACTTTTAAAAAACTCCCGCCTCAGTCGGCATCAAACTACACTTCCCACATGTACACCTTTTAAAGAAAAAGAAAAAAATACGACGACATAGTGAAAATTAGTCATTTACAAAAACCACTAAGCAAATATAAGTTCTCTTACGAGAAGTTCTCTCGTATTGCGTAAGTTAGCTTACGCTACGGGAAAGATTAATCTTTTCGAGATATTGAAGCCAAAAAATTATCCTTAATTTTGTATTCATTGTCAACGCAGTGCAGCAGCTAGCAGACCTAGAGCAGGCTGTCTAGCGTGCTCATTGGCTGCCCTGCGGCAACTGCAGCAGGCTACCACTGAGCCTGGCGTGACGTCACGTCCAATGAAGGGCGCTCGCGCCCTCATCGCGCCTTAGGCCGCCAGAATGGGCGTGGCTTAACGTATATAAGCGGGGCTCGGAGGCTGTCTCCCTGATTTTCATCTCTTCAGCAAAGCTCTTCGCATCGCTGGACTCCGAGAGAAGCCGCCGCCGTCTGAGGAGCGAACAGCCAGCTTAGGACAGAGCCTGAAGAAGCCGGCCGCCTTCAAGCCATCCGTGCGAGCTACGCTATCCGGCGACGTATCCTTTTTCCTCTCAAGAGCTCTATCTCCTGTGTGTGTTCGCCGCTGCGACACCACTTTTCTAAAAGAGTAGCGAGACGTCTTTTTCAAGATGCATCGCACTTCCTGCGGCTCGTGCAGAGCCCCGCTCAGCGCCGGAGACCGCCATGTGATCTGCGCTCTCTGCCTGGGCCAGGAACACGCAGCGCTCGCTCTCTCGTCGGGAGGCTGCGAGCACTGCGACGAACTTCCAATGTCGACCCTGCTGGCTCGACTCGAAGTTTTCAACCCAGAGGCTGTCACTCCGCCCTTCGTAGGACCACGCAAGAAGAAGCGCCGTTCTCAAAGGCCTCCGGAGCCTGTGGCCACCGCGAATCGCTCGCCGG